GTATTGCATTGCTCTTGCCATACCATGGTACACAACTTTCTGGCAATTTCTTGTTTTATCTTAGACTGAGCTTTTTGATTGAATGGGTTTATAAGATTTGCACCCACATTAAGCAGCACTTGAAGGGAATGTTTCATGCTTGTATATATTGAAGCATGCATCTGATGTGATGAAATTAGTTCACTTCTAGCCATTGGTATACTATTAAGTAGAAAAACTGCTCTAAACAACACAATTTCTTTGTCTAGTAATTATGCTCCTCAATACATCATTGTTTGGTGATGTCCTTGCACACATTGATTGAGACACAATTGACAGTCATGTTGGAAAACCAAGCTGATGAACATCATATTTGAGCAACTCAACAATTTTTTTTTTTTGCTTTGATTTCAGCAAGGCAAATGAAATGACAGGATTTGACTGATGTTATTATGGCATTGTGGATGCCTGGGCAACCTTAAAATACTCTTCAAAATAGTTCACACATTTTTGTGGGTGTGTAGCTCAGAAACTGGAAGGGCATAGCTGTGAACTGCGCTGAGGGATTTTTGAGGTGGCTATTTCAGTTCAAAACTGGGTACAAATGTACAACACAGGTTTTTATGCTAGAATGAAGACTCCACCAGGGGATTGTGAAATTACCAGCGAACGGCAGGACTTTGCGGCGAAAGCCTAACACGCCGCAATTCTTGGCACTGTTCTTCCTGCCTCTTATGTCATCTAACTCTCATGCGGCCGTTGCCACCCACCGCATGCCATCCCAGTGAAGGTCAAGTAGGGAGCGCTGAAACCGATTCGACCTCACCCTACTGCGGTGGAGTGAATGGAAGGCAGGCTAATCCAGCCAACTAAGCTACCGTAGTCGACGGGATTTAAGGAAATGATCACGGCGCAAAGCGAGTTTAAGCAAAAATGTACCGGATGTAGTAATGCTGAACGCATCAGCTGTAGTACATTTGTGGAAGTGGTGGGCATTCACCCTCCTGCCAAAATGTCACATTTCAACTCTGCTGGATGAGTCATCCATAGCTGGGCCATTGGGAGATGAGATATCCATGACAGAGACATCCCAATGCCATTGTGGGATCAGGCGTGTAGGTTTTGCCGTGCTCTTGTTGATTTTGCGGATCGTCGGTAACGCAGCGATTTTGCCTTGTCTCTGCACTGTATTATTTTTCCAACCTCCGGTATATGGGATTTCGCGGAACATTTGGACGCCCTAGAGGCAGACATTGCAAGATTCCGCCTGTTATTTGTGTTGCTAATATGAGTTTATTTTTCAGGAACAACATCTACAGATACGGTGTGTACAGGTTTGGTACAGTTGAAGTCCTCAAGCACAGTTATATCCCGCTGTGAAATGGACGTCAAGAACAATACGTTTTGGGGTCTGATTCTCCAACCAGGAAAACGGTATGAGCAGATCGTGGAGAAGTCGTTCCACGTGTCGATGGCTGCATTGGACGTAGCCAGCGTCAGCGCAAATGCCAATCCGAATACCCAAGTCATGATCAACGTCGATGGTCAGGAGTTTATTCTCTGCCACCTAAACAAAAATCGCAACCCGCAGCAAACGCTGGATCTCAATTTCCAGGGCGGAGATTCCTTGGCCCTGTATGTTGATGGGCAGACACCGGTGCCAGTACACCTCACTGGCTTCTACAATGAGATTGATGATGATGATATGGAAGATATGACAATGAGTGACATGTCTGATGAAGAAGAAGCTCCAGACCTGGTTCCGGTCACGAAAGCAGCGTCTTTAAAGAAGAGCAAAGGTAAAAGCATAGGGGCAATGGGAGATGTCGCTGAGAATGGTTCCAAGAGGAAGGGATCGCCAGTGAAAGAAATTGTTCCTAAGAAGGCAAAGGTGCAAGATGCTGTAGACGATGATAGTGACGATGACGACGATGAGGATGCAGACGAAGATGATGAAGACGAAGACGACGATGAGGACGATGATGAAGTGGAGGCTGAAGAGGAAGAGGAGGGTTTTAGCGACGAAGAAGATGATGACGAGGAGGACGACGAGGACGAGGACGATGAAGATGACGATGACGATGATGAATCCGATGGCGAACCTGAAATTCCCCTGAAGAGGACTCAACCAGTAGCACTTAAGAAGGATAAACTGTCAGCGTCTGTGGAGAAGAGCCGAAAGGAAAATGGGTCTGTGAGTGTATCTGAAAGCCCAAAGAAGAAAAAGAATACGGACCAGAATTCGGCCGAGGCACAAAAAACGCCTGTTCAGCAGAAAAAGAAGGAGCCAGTGACCCCCAATCAGCAGATGAAGAAGGAGCCAGTGACCCCCAAGTCCGCAAAGAAGACGATCGGGGGTGGTGTAATGATTGAGGATCTCATCGTTGGAAGTGGCGCTGTCGCCAAAAGGGGCCGGCCTGTTTCGGTGTACTACGTGGGCCGACTCAAGCAGAATAACAAGCAATTTGATCAGACCGTTGGCGGTCCCGGATTCAAGTTCCGACTGGGTGCGAAGGAGGTGATCAAGGGCTGGGATGTGGGAGTGGAGGGCATGAAGGTGGGCGGAAAGCGGAGGATCACGTGCCCTCCGCACATGGCCTACGGCTCCAGAGGCAGCCCCCCAGTCATCCCACCTAACAGTGCCCTCGTGTTTGAAGTTACGCTGAAGAATGTCCACTGAACTTTTTGAGCACTCATTCTTGAAGCTGTGCAAAGCTATTCCACGTGATGAGGCGCGAGAGTGGGGAGTGAGCCACGAACGTTTCATGATCATGCGATGCGAGTGCGTCTCATTTGATGTCACGTTTTTCACTGGGAGGGCGCCTTGTGCGGTGTTGGCAAAGGTTGGGTCGCGAGTGGCAATGTCAAGTGCTGTATGATGTTGGGTGCAAGTGTACCATTGGGCGTTGTCGCTGAAGTGACCCGACGGCGTTGGCCGCGCAGTTGTGTCGAGTACCTATTGCGTTTTGGGTTTTAAGTTTCAAACAATACAATGAGTGATCAAGTGCTTCGTCCGTTCGTGCCACCGCTGGTAAATACGCATGTAAACTACGAAGACAGGGAGGCACTGCCTTGATAGGCGTTCGTTAGAGGGAAGCTTAGTGTTGGAGCTCATGGGATCTTAAAAGTAGACTGTGATCGTTTCCGAGAGCTCCCAATTCAACTACACGCTGACCTTGATCGTGCACACACTACACGGTAGCCGCCACGCGCCAAGGTGCCGACGACCCTCTCCGAAGTTCGCTGACAGTCTTGATGCTCCTGCTCACTGGAAGCTCCCCGTTGCTGTGGGAGAGTCGTTTTCATAAGACAGGCTGGTGATGCTGAGCCTGTCGTAGTGTTGATGGCAAGCGTAGGAACGTTGGTAGAAGCGCGCCAACCCCGTTTGCCGTGCTCATTTCCGACGTCCCCTCGTCATCTCTGCATACATCGGAGGATAGCCGCGCGTATGTGGATGCTTCGCGATAGTCTTGCTGGAGGTTTGGAGGCGTGATTTAAATAGCCCACCCTGTCGCACGCGCTGTTCTTGGGACCTCTCGCGGCAGAGCCATTCATTTTACATCCCGTGGAAATTGACGCCAGCTTTGTACATACGTTTAGTAATATTCCTCCCGTGTCGCTAAATAGTTTCGCACATTTCCCTTGTTGGGTGGCGAAGGCATCAGTTCACGTACTGGTTAGTTTGCGTAATTGATCTCGATGATTGAATAAAAGAGCTTTATTGCTCCGGCGGGTTAGTGCTGGCCGTTAGTACAGCATGCGGTATGGCGGCGCGTGCATCAACTGCCTTCAAAGTACAGATGTCATCCTGCATCCTACAGATGTTTTATCATGTCCTACAAAGCATCAAGGACCGCCTTCGCAGTCTAGATAAAAACGTTGACTTACAGTCCGGCGGCGATGGGTGTAAGGACTGGGGAGAAACGCGCATCGTTTGGCCTCCCGTCTTGCGCACCCCTATATATCAGGTAGCAACTGGCCTAAGTGTGGCTGGCCTGGCCCGAGGTGGTCTATTCTCTGCATTATACGATATGCAGTTTTCTGACCAGAAAGACGGGTAGAATTATCCGATGAACTGGATCAGGACAGATATTGACTGGTGAGTGGTACAGGACATGGATGCAGTGATGTGGATTGGGGGTGGTGAGCGGAGAAAGCAGGAATTCCAGGTGAACAAAATCCTGCAGAAAGGTTTACCTTAAATTGGTGTCCCTTAATCTCAAAGGTGCAAAAGGCGTTGTACGGGCAATGTGTATCGGATGGCGGGGCAAGGTCTCATTTTCGAAAAATAATGGGGACATATATCCTTGACTGCCCAGCATGCGCAACGGTATTGAAAAGGTCACATTCACCCGTGGGCATAATTACGCCAAGTGCTGGTTGTAACCAACAGTGGGTTGACCAGCAAAGTCGGTTAACCAACACTGCGTTTACTGGGGTTCGAACCATAGTAAGCGAGCGGCAGATTTAACTAGTTTCGTGCTTTGATGACATAAAATGGTACCAGAACAGAACCAGGCCACAGCAACATTTAAGTTTTGGTTACGTCCATGCACACGCAAGGATATTTCCTCTGCGCCTAGCCTGAAGCTTCATCAACTTTCTCAGCAACCACTATTCGTGGTGCTGCCGAATTACAATGCATTCAAATTGCAGTTTCGAATTCGAAGTGTAGTCTCCTATTCATTTCAAGAGGGGACTCCGTCACTTGCTTGAGTCCCCCCCCCCCCACACTCATTTTGAGAAAAATGGATCAAATCCAGGGCAAAATCAGTTCACTAGCCACTAGCCACTAACTTGGAAGAAGGTTTTGCCACTTTTCATTGTTCAGCACACGACCCTCATTTCTAAAGGCTACAACCCTGTTTGAAAATAACTAAGACCCTAAGGAATACGGGTCTCTTACCCAAATTTCGTGAGCAATTCGAATTACCACTCGCGTCGCTTTTATGTTTTGGTCTGGAGAATTTGCCTGCCTCGTTCACTCGACCCATGATCGATTCCTAAGCCACGCCTCCTATGCATCACACAGGCCTCGTTCGTTGAGATAGTTGCGTGTGGTGTGGGATGTTCGAGCTGGGAGCGCAGGCATGACACCGGATGAGGTATTTCGAATCCAAAGGCGGTTGTATTGTGCGAAATGAACTTGGAAGTGTTCCTAACTTTGTGTAGCGGGGGCGTGCTGTGCAAGCTGGAAGCGTGGATTAATAAGCGGTTGAAATTGCCACCGTTTTTTGGGATGCTTATATAGTGAATGGGCTAAGTATAATTTTGGCATGTTTCATTCACCACATGGAATTGACGTAGGAGCTTGCAGAAGATAGGTGTGTGTTTCCCCCTAATTGGCCTTTCCTGTCAACCTCTATGTATGTTGGAATTGGTACTAATAATTACATTTTGTTATCAATGGCCATGATCTCAATGCTTAATACTAATGATGTCCACTGAGCACTGGCACAGACATGGTAGGGCCTGGAGAATACAGGCCCAAATCACCCAGCTATCAAGGTGAAATTTGCTTCAATTCTATGGGGGTCAATTTAGAGCTCCATGATAGATCATGGAGTTTACTGGATCAATTTTGTTTTTCTAGTGCTCAAGCTGACTACCAGAACATTAACTATGTTGCATGGAGTAAGTAGGAGTTCAAAAGGGCAGTTTCACACTGAGGAGTGCAAAGCAGTAGAGCAAATTTTGTTGTGTCACTCATTCAGTGGGACTAAGTGCATCACATGTAATATGGAACCAAGCATAAACCTTGAGTGCTTTCGGTGCTTCCACTTGAGACGTTGATTGCAGATAGATGCAGCAACATAGAGCTAGGGGATTTCTTCTCTGGATGAAATCTTAATCTGTGCTGTGTTAGGTACCTGGAACAAGAAATTATAATGTTAGATGGGAAAACTTATAAAACACACACACATATATATATATATATATATATGTATATATATACATATATATATATATATATATATAAATGATAGACATATATGTGTAAAACATAAATTACAAGTTCTTTGGCCTTATCATTTCATGATACCAAGTTTAAAATGGTTGAATTTCTTATCCATAAGGTTATAAATACTATTATAATATGTCAGGCAGATACTTTTACCAGCAATGGAGTTGATGCTAAATGAAGGTGATCTGGTTGCCACCCCATTTCTCATGTTGAAGCATTTTGTGGTGTTGTGCCCAAATCAGTTAAAATAGTAGGGTATGTGGTCCCCAGCTACACTTGGTCTCTATTCCTGTAAAGCTGTCTTCACAAACAAATATTTGTGACCCATCCAGATTGCGTGCCACTGCCCTTGAATTTACCCAACTGATCAGAGTATTAAAGTGATTGAAATCTGAGATAATTTGTGTGCTAAATATGTGATAAGGCATTTCCCCTGTCTTTGGGCTCCCAATATCAATGTATGTCACTCCTGCAGCTTTGCTGCCAAGTCTTAAGCTTGGTGAAATCCAGAAGAATTTAGCCTATTCATGTTTTGTTAAGGCATTGGATCCCTGTAAGAATATTTATATTCCAATAGCATTTGCTGTTCAAAAACTGCGTGAGAACAGGCTTGTAAAAGTGTTTGTATCCTGCTTAACCAATTTTCCATTTCTTTTTCAGATAGCAGGATCTCATGCTAGCATATATGAAGCCTGGTACAACCAGGTATGTCTACAGTCCTGCTGATGCATCTGTTTTTGTGTGAAATGCGAGAAGTGCATGCTTTCTTTCAGGTGCCCATCATGCACCAGGATGGTATTGGAGTATGGCTGTTGGTGTGTTGAGGATAGAACTTGCCTATTCTGTAGGGTGCAATACAACAGTCCACTTTTACAAAGTTGGCTCAGCCCTTGACTTGGTGGAATACATATGAGATGGCATTTGTGATATGCCATATTGTGTGATGTTTTGTATTACGTGACTATCATAGATCTGTTCATTATGTGTCACAATCCGTCTTCCAGATTGATAAAAATCACACAAATGTTATTGGTGCCTTGGATGCAGCCAAGTTTCTGAAGAAGTCAGGACTTCAAGATAATGTGCTGGGACAGGTAAAAGTCACATGGCTAGTGTTATGCCTCCAAGTTATTTGAAATTAAAAACTGAAAATCTAATGGCAGGTTGACCTTGAACACTGTGGAGAGTGCTATGTGTTATTATTTTATAGTGAAATTCACTTTTGCAATATTATAGCACTGGTCTCATTTACTGGCAAGGGCAAGATTGCTGACATGTGTGGTGTGTTGAGGCCAGTGGAAGCCAACGGCATCATATCACTGTGGACCAGCTGTGAAGAAAGCTGTCGTGCCTCATGTAGCCAGATTGGAGAAGGTGTATGTTACAGCAGTTTATTACCAGAAGGCCTGTGCTCAGGCAACCTGCATTCAGAAAGCCTGTTCAAAACACCCATGCAGAGATGGCCAAATTTAGAATGACAATTTCAGAATGACCTTTTAAGGGTCAGTTGACAGAAAGCCTGCACTTGAACAGATGATTGCAAAAGGCCTGTATTCAGAAAGTGTATTTTCTTCCATGATGCTTTTCCAGTTGAATACATTTGCATTCACATGGCTCATTTGCAGAACATGTGTTTTCAAAAGGCCTCTGTTTTGGAGGCCACATTCAGAGGGCTTATGTTCTGAATGGCAGTGTTCAGAGGGTCCATTTGCATAATGCTCTGTTAAAATGGCTGCCTCCAAAACCATATTTACAGCAAATCTGGGTGCACAAGGCTCATTTTCATAGTCGTCACTGACACAACCCTGTGTTCTGAAGGCTTAGTTGTTCTGGCTCCACCACAGTTGGCATGAGGATGTCAGTTGGAATGAGAATGTCTCCTCCAAGTTTCCAGATCTTTTAATGTAATGCTTGTGGCATTGCATGAGAAGGATGCATTGAGAAGCCTTGGTGCTCCCAGATTCTGACCTGATAGCATTTGTGCAGGCAGATCTTGTGAACATAAGAGATTAGGAAATAGGCCTCCTGAGCACAAACTCAGTGCAAAAATTATGTAGGCTGGACAGTGTAGGCCTTCAGAAAACAGCTCTTCTGAGCTAATGCCAAGAAAACCCAGCATGTAATATATATATATATATATATATATATATTATATATATATATATATGAAGGCATCTATCAGCAGGTCCTTGTCATTGCTTGGTCAGTGGGTGCTCTTAAAAGCTTGTTTTGTTTCAGATTTGGGACATAGCAGATTCAAGATGTATGGGCCAGTTGGATAAAACTGGGTTCTTTGTGGCCTTAAAGATGATAGCGCTGGCCCAGAATGCCAAACACGTGGATTTGTCTAATGTTCGCAGCAATGTCCCTCCTCCAAATATGGTGAGTGTGTTGTGGGAATAAACAATGTGTATGGCTCATCAGGAGCCTAAAAGCCTCAGATGTCAGCCGAGTTTATATAGCGAGCAGCCATGTTTTTTCATGCAGTGTTTTGTGGCCATCTTCCAGCCATATTTCATTGAAAACAATGAAGGCAGTGATATTTTGATTGAGCTAAAACCAACACCAACAGTGGGAGTTCCTGACTTCAAGTGTAAGCAATCATCCGGCAGTGACAGCAGTTGTTAAGAGAAGTATAAACATGAGATGCTTATATGTGGTTTCAGGGTGAGCCACCACCTGCCGGCTCGTTTTCGCCGGCCATCAGCAACGGGAGCACTGTTTGGACCGTGAAGCCGGAGGATAAGCAGCGCTACGACCAGATCTTCAACTCCCTCGGACCAATCAACGAACGACTACCTGGCAATAAGGTGACTCCAGAGATCTGATCTCAACCAGCTGGTGTTGATAGACGTCATGGGGTGACGGGTATTGTCACGTTTGATCACATGCTATCATGACTGGATGCTCACTTCCATAACTCGGTACAATGTTCAGGTGCGGGAGGTGCTGCTGAATTCGAAGCTGCCGATGGACACTCTGGGACGGATATGGGACCTGTCAGACATTGACAAGGACGGCTTCCTCGACCGAGACGAGTTCACAATCGTGAGTAGCCGTCGGGCAGGTATAACTGCGGTGTCATCGACGTATATCACGCACTGTGTGATGGCTTACATGACAATCCAGATTCATGAGTGATGCCCGCTGGCTGTGTATTCGAATTTGGGTTAGTAATCGATGTTTTAGTGTGTAAAAATCGCATACCTTGATGTCGGTCATGTCGTGAGGATTTTTTGTGAGGAATGTCTCTGAGTAATGCCACAAATGATGATGCCTCCCAGCCATACCATGCATACCGTCTTCTCTCAGCCATGCTATGCATAACGCCTCCTGTCAGCCATACCACACATACTGTCTTCTCTCAGCCATACCATGCATAACTTCTACTCTCAGCCATACCACACACAGTGTCTCCACTCAGCCATACCACATATAACGCCTTCTCAGCCATACCACGCGTAACGTCTTCTCAGCAGGACAACGCACAACGTTTCCTCTGGCAGTGCCGCGCATAAACCCCGAAATGTTCACGAACCATATTCCCTGCTGATGTATCCGTGCCTCCACCCATGGTACATACCTTCACCGTTGATAAAGTGCGAGAGATGCCAGGCTCATGCAGGGCTGACGGTGCGCTGTGCTGTGCCCCGGCAGGCGATGCACCTGGTGTACAAGGCTCTGGCCAAGTGTGCTGTGCCGGCCGCGCTGCCCGCCGAGCTGCTGCCGGCCGCCAAGCGGGGCTCCTCGCTGGGCACTATGCCGGACCTGTTGCCCACCTCGGACGGACTCATCAAGGTGACGATCTGGCAGTGCTGCACGCGCTCCGCAGCCCGAGGTGTAGCCGTGAGCCGGCACCCGCCAGGCGTCTGGCTACGGGCTCGGCGTCTGGCCGCGGACGGCCCTGTCCGCCGGCCAGGTGCAGGGCACTGTGTGTGAATGTGTGGACGGGTAGCGTGCTGTATTTCTGATGCCAGGCTGCATGCCTGGTGGTTGGAGCTCTCAAAACCCTCGAAATCCGCCGAGGAATGTTGTGCACGTATATGCTTTGGGTGCTTCAGGTTATCGTGCGGAAAGGCGCTCCCCATTTATCAACAATAGACATATAATTGTAACTTGGGGCCGGTTTCGGCGAAGCCTATCGATGGGCTCTTGGGGGTGTTGTTACGCCGTTTTCGAAGAGGCAGGTGGACGTAAACGCGCGCGCGGCCTGTCGCCGGCCCAGCGCGCGTCCCTCGAGTTACGTCTGCTGCACGTGCTGACGGGTGGCTGGTGTGCGGGCAGCCGCTGGCGCGGCCGGTGGCGCAGCAGCAGTGGGTGGTCTCGGCCAGCGACAAGGCGCGCTCGGACGTCATGTTCCGCGCTGCCGACCTCGACCAGGACGGCTTCGTCTCCGGCGCCGAGATCCGCGACATCTTCCTCAAGTCGGGCGTGCCCCAGCTCTGCCTGGCGCACATCTGGTTAGTCTGGCCGCCGCAGACTGTGTGAGCGGGCGCGAGCCGCCAGCCAGACGGTGTCCGTCAGCCAGCTGGGGCGGCTCCGCGCTAGTTGTTCCCGACCGGCTGTGTAACTACTCTGCCGTTAATTGATGTATTCTGTCACGTACCCTGTTTCTGTGTCGCGTTCTGCAGGCAGGGGGCGTCCATCATTGCTTTGCGGTCCCCCTTGTTATGGCTGTGGCCGAGCGCCAGCGTCGGGCGTCGCCCACCCGAGCCGCCAGAGCCGCCAGACCACTCGTGTTAAACCCAGCACCGGGCGCCGTCCGCCCAAGCCGCCCAGAGCCGCCAGACCACTCCTGTTGAACCCAGCACCGGGCGTCGCCCGCCTGAGCCGCCAGAGTCGCCAGACCACTCCTGTTGAACCCAGCACCGGGGTGTCGCCCGCCTGAGTAGCCAGGGCCGCCAGACCACTCCTGTCAAACCCAGCACCGGGTGTCGCCCGCCTGAGTAGCCAGGGCCGCCAGACCACCCCTGTCAAACCCAGCGTCGGGCGTCGCCCGCCTGAGCCGCCAGAGCCGTCTGAGCCGCCAGAGCCACCCCTGCCCAGCCATCCGTGTGTGTCAGCAGTCTCATGAGACCTCCGTCCTCTGTCCTCGCTGAGTGACTGACTGGGTGCGTCGCCCTGCCAGGAACCTCTGCGACATGAAGCAGACGGGCAAGCTGAACCGGGAGCAGTTCGCGCTGGCGCTGCACCTGATCCAGCAGAAGCTGCAGGGCGTGGAGCCGCCAGCGGCGCTCACTCCGGCCATGGTGCCGCCCACGCTGCGACCCAAGCCCGGCCAGGAGCCGCCGGCGCCGCCGCCGCCGCTGGTCAGTGACCGCCACCGCCGCTGGCTGGGCTGGGAGGGGCTGGAGGCCGCTGGACGGGAGGGAACTGGTGGTAGTAGGGCGAGGCGGGTGACCCCGAGCTGGGGTTTAATGCGGATGTGTTAGAATCGCACGAGCACGGGCGGGGTATGAGCTGTCGATAGAGCATTATCGCTGGTCTGTGCAGACCGATTCTCGTTATTTAAAAACTGCTGAAGCTATTGTACCGGATCAATGCTCCTGTGCCCTAAAGTGGCATGTTTTCAGCGGCACGTCGTTTGGACGTAGCCGATTGGCCATTTGCTCACGACTGAATGGACTCAATAGCTCCACAGCCTCGGCGACCGATTTTTATCATCCATCGCTATGGCAAGAGCTTTTGGTATTCATTTATTGGTTACAACGCCCAAAATTCGGTTCCACTTGACGCTACGTTTTTCCTATAATCATTTTTGGCTTCTTCTTTCCACCTCCACACTTTTTAACGCAGCCCTTCACACACATGTACAAAAGTGCACCACCAATCCCGAGCGCCAGACAACTGATGCCAACAACAACGATGTACTCCTTGTACTTGAAGAACACGTTGTACTCCACCACTAAGTTGACGGACGCCACCATGTTGTCCTTTTGCCAGCACCTGGGGGGATAGAGCCGGGGGGTTATCACACGAGACCTGGAAGCCGGGGTTTGGGAACGGCACATCCAGATTGCTGAACCCGTGGCTCGGATGTGCACGGGCCTGGCCGAAATGTGTTATCCTCTACCGCTGTTTGCTCAAGTCCCATCGAAATGCGGCGGACTTGTGGAGAACGCGTATGAGCATTGCGCAATCTGATGACGATAGAGGTCTCATTGGGTGTGCGAGTATGTGGTGGAAGATGGCCGTTAAAACTGCGCATTTGGGGCACATAAGAAAAGACTCGCATGGAAGGACCGCGGGCGGGAAGGGGTTGGGAGACTTCCAGTGGCTCCTTCACTTTTGGTGCGTGAAATGGACGATGGGGATTTATTTGTCCGTGTTCAACGTTTTGGCTGCATGTGAACGAAACGCAAAGCTCCGTGTCTACATAGCTCACCACATTCGTACAGTTCTGGCGTAGAGCAGCGCCTGGCATTGGTCAGACGAGAAGCCCCTTTTGTCGGGCCGCGTCAGAGGCGCGGCCTGACGCGTACGGACCGCGCCCCGGCGCTGCTCGACTCTGGCCGCGTCGCCGGCTCACTCACGTGTACAGAGCCGAGTCCTGGAGCGCGGCACGTCGGATGTGCACCACCTTGTTGATATCGATAAAGACGCGCCCCTTGGTCTCGCGCCGATAGGGCGACCGGGTCGAGGAGGCGGCCGGCACGCTGCCACTGCACCACCTTGCTCAGGTCGGCTCTGGCGCGCACACAGACGTACAGGTGGCACACGGGGCTGCCCCGACACGTGACGGTGGGGGAGGGGGCACGGCAGTCTACACATTCGGGGAAGGAGGCGACGGACTATCGCTGACTGACCCGTTGACGTTGGGTCGCATAGACGGTGACGGCTGCATCTCGGTGGGAGAAGTTGTGTCTTCCGTCAGTCTTTCTGACGAAGTGTGCGGGTTGACTTGTCGCCGCGTGATGGCAGGGAGGGCTCTGGCTCCGTTGGAATCTAATGGCTTTATATGCGGCGAAAGGCCGACTCGTGAGGATTACACAGAGCGTTGGAGCAGGCATGTCACCCTTCATGCTTTTGGGCGTATTCTATCGCCCCCTCTCATGGCGATGCTTAGGAAGAAAAACCCCAGAAAGCACAAATTACCATAAGGATTTCCCATGTTTTGGAAAGTGTCAACCAAGCTGCGGCCGCCGTCTTAATACTATGGGAGTACAGGGCTTTGTCTGAACCAGCGTCGCCTGCCACGTGTCCCGTGTCGAAGCAGTTCCGAGGCAAAAGGCGGCGCAGCGTTACCAACAGTTCGCGCAGAACGTTAAGCTTATTATCGTGTATGATGCTCACGTCGGCGGCGAAAGCGCCCTGTCGCTGTCCTGGTTTGCGTGGAGTGGTGATGGCAGCATGCATTGCACACTCATACCGCACTCACCCCTTGCACACGATACGAATCTTCTTGCCAGTCTTCGTGTAAACGGTACTGCGGCGGACGTAGCTGGTGAGCGGCGCCTCTAGGGCTTCCACCGCTGTCTTATTGTTCTTCTTCCATAATTCGCGAACATTTCCGAATGAATCCCGTACAATCCAAATGCGGGTATTTGGGCACGGCACCTGCGAGTGAGAGTTTGGATGTCAGCGTGTTGCTCCACATGATAACGGCTCTTGCGTATTGCGCTTGGGTCTTGTGGGTCCTGACAGACTGCGCACGGGTTGCGGCATTGCTAACACGCATCCTGACCCTAATGGGAGAGCGTAACCCTTGCTGAAGGACGTGCGGCAGATCGCGCATTAGAGCGCCGCCGCGCGCCGAGCCAGGCGCCGGCCGCGTGAGCACCTTGCAGTAGCGGACCTCGCGCTCGGGCGCGCGGCCGCCGACGTCGTGCAGGTCGCGGAGGTCGTCCGGCAGCAGCCGAGTCCGACACGGCAGGCCGTCCGGGAACCGCTCGAACGCCGACACTGCAACGGCGCCGGCCGGTGACGTCACACGCGCGCGACGGAGATTAGTGTGGTCCTCCCAGTGGCGTGATCCCTCAGAGCAGCTCATCTCCGCTCCGATCGGTGTGCGCCACGCCAGAGGGGGAGGGGGGGGGGATGTGGTCCCCCCGGTGGCGTGATCCCTCAGAGCTGCTCATCTCCGCGCCGATCGGTGCGCGCCACAACAGAGGGGACCTGCTGGCAGGGCTGGGAGTGACATGTTGTGGAATTGGTGGTTAAGCTAGCACTGCAAGCCACATCTAGCCCCCTTGTGGCGCATTACGCACTGGGTGTAGCCAACCGAGCGTTTTTGAATGGCCGGAAGGGACCGGACCGGCGTGTGCCAGTTCGGCGTGCCCGCCAGGGGCGGGAGGATCCACTCACTGGTGACCTTGCTCTCCTGGCCGGGGTGCAGTCGGATGGGCTGCGCGGGGTCAAAAGGCCGCACGAAGCACATGCCCGATCGAAAGCGTTTGCCCACCTGCCGACAGACGGACGGGATGCTGTGAGGGTGACTGACTGGCGCGGCGGCGACGGTTACAGGCAGTCACTGATCAGCTGTTGGTCGCAACTTTGGTCGTGCGCTTGTTGACGTGCTGACTATCGAGCACTGTGGCGATGACATGGGCCTGTTATGACGTCATCAGATGCCTCCCATGGCAGTTTTCCAAACGGGTCACGCGTGTTCTTCAGCTGCCAAGCAAAGTGGCGTGGTGGCTGAACGTCACGCGGCCGCATGAGACGGATGTGAGGTGGAGGGGTGCGAGCACCACAAACAGCCCTCCACACCGCAGTGGGGGAGCTGCCTTCCGTCCCGAGGTCGGGGGCTGGTGGGGCGCGCGGCCGGGCGCAGCAGCCGGCGGCCCGGCGGTCCGGCGCCAGCTGGTGCGCTGACCCGGTCGCAGCGGCTGCAGGACGACCACTGGCTCCACTCCGTGTAGACGCGCAGGTTGTGGCCGACCAGATTGACCGGAGGCGTCGCCTTGGGCTCGGCCGGCGCGTTGCGCGCGTGCACCTGGCGGCGTGGCGTGCCGCTTCAGCGCCCGACGCACGCAGACGCGCGCTCGCGCCGCCAATAGCGGGCGACGCGGTTGGCCCACCGTGGGAGGGTGTGCTGGTGGCTGGGCCGGAGAAAACGCCGGCCGTCTGGGGCTGTTGTCGCGGCCCACTTGGAAACCGACCCAAGGAACGTTTGGAGCTGGCACCCGTTTGTCAGTTAGTTGTGATCCGGTGGATAAAGTCAGCGGTTGGATGGAGACACGTAGCCAAACTTTCCATAAGGGGAGGGGAATGTAAAACTTGCTCTGGAGTCGTAGGAGTTTGGACCAAATCCTACGTTATCGGCCAGTGCTAGTGACAACCTTTTGGTTCGGGAGAGGGCGGTGCATGATCCTTTCACTCCCCCCCCCCCCCCTGGCCACGTTCCCGGGGTGGATGCGGTTGGAGATTTAATGAAGAAGGATCGAGCTTTTATGCATATATTGATTTAAAATTCCACCATTAATAAGGGAAAGTCAAAGTTTTTGGAGAAGTGAGCGAAACAATAATTATGGAAAAGAAATCAAACACATTTGCTTGTAGTTCCGTTAACCTCGTAAACTTACTGAATATTTTAATCATCTCGTAAATGATTCAGTATTAAAAGATGACTAAATACAGTTTTTGCTATCTAGGGTAGACCAGCTCCGCTACCCAACTGAGAAAGTATGGTAATTCGCCCACAACACTGATTCTTATCATTCGTTTCGGTTGTTGGTCTAGGCGTGAGCCATTGGATGCCATCCAAGCGTAGTGGATGACACCCAATGGCTCATGTAAACGAGTGAGGCTTCGACCCACCGTCTTGGCGCCGAAGAAGCTGACGACGTCGACGTTGTAAATGGCGTGAATGGTGTAGAAGTTCTGGCAGATGTAGATGCCGGCGTCCGAGGGGATGGCGCTCTGGATGGTCAGCTTCATACTGGGCGACACGATGAAGTGGTCCATGTCGATGGGTACGTCCTCGGTGGCGGTCTCGGTGAAGCGGACCCGCCGCCAGATGCTGCTGTCGCCGCGGCTCGGGTACTGGCACACCTTGCACTCGGCACTGCGGGCGAACGGTCAGTGACGCACTGTCGCCGGTTTGGTGGTCAGTGACGGTCAGTGACGCACTGTCGCCGGTGTGGCGGTCATTGACGCACTGTCGCCGGTTTGGTGGTCAGCGACGGTCAGTGACGCACTGTCGCCGGTGTGGCGGTCATTGACGCACTGTCGCCGGTTTGGTGGTCAGTGACGGTCAGTGACGCACTGTCGCCGGTGTGGCGGTCAGTGACGCACTGTCGCCGGTGTGGCGGTCAGTGACGCACTGCCGCCGGTGTGACGGCCAGTGACACACTGTCGCCGGTGTGGTGGTCAGTGACACACTGTCGCCGGTGTGACGGTCAGTGACGCACTGTCGCCGGTGTGGCGGTCAGTGACGCACTGCCGTCGGTGTGGCGGTTAGTGACGCACTGTCGCCGGTGTGGTGGTCAGTGGCGCACTGTCGCCGGTGTGGCGGGTTAGTGACGCACTGTCGCCGGTGTGGCGGTCCGCTGGGGAGGGGACGGGGCAGGGGGAGGGCCTTCGGTGGCGGGCGTAAGTTGATCTCTGATCACTGTGTTGATCACAGAAGGGAAGGCAGTCATCGTCGTTTTCAGACCATTGTTTAAAATTCCGTTTTTTTCGCCGGTACCAGACTTCGGTCCGTACGTATTTAAGCTGCCATTATTCCTCTCGTTGTGTTCGCACACTTCGCAATAAGCATAACTTGCAACAGGTGACCCCGGAAAATATTTCACCTGGGACGTTTCCTCATTTAATCCGTTGCATGGGCGTGCGTTTTCCCCCGAGTCGCCGCTGCGTCGCTCATAGGCACACCCCTTGATCCCATGCACACCTGTGGTGGGAGGCGACTCTGGCATGGGCCCGAGAGATGCACTCCGCTCCCCGTCCCAGCCCTCACCCCCCCGCTGACGGGACCGAGGCGCCGGCCTCGAGAACGAGGGCGGCAGGTCGGACCCCCTGTTGGGTACTACTCCCCTTCCCCTCCCCCCCCCCCCCGCTGACCTGGCTGAGGCGCCGGCCTTGAGTACGAGGGCGGCATGCTGGACCCCCTGCTGGGTGCTGCCCCCACCCCCACCCCCCACCCCCGTCCCCTCCCCCCGCTGACCTGGCTGAGGCGCCGGCCTTGAGTACGAGGGCGGCAGGCCGGACCCCCTGCTGGCTGCTCCGCTTCTCGGACAGGCAGCGGTAGTACCGCCGGAACTTGAGGATGTAGTCGCCCCGCTCGCGCTGGTTCAACACGAACCGACGCGCCTTCACCTGGCCTGGCGCGCGCCGCGCACGCCGGTCAGAGCGGGTGCAGGGCGACGGGTGGGGAGAGCGCAGAGGCGGCCGCGCGGGACTGGATTGGCAAACTTCGTCTGCGTATGCGGAACGATACCGTCGCGTCCCCCTCCCCGGTTCGAATTGATCTCGGATTATCTGGGACAGATTCGCTAATGTTTGCTGGGTTGATTCCGAGTCGCTTTGAGCAGGCAAGCGCTCACGTACGTAAACACTTGTGCCATCTCGCTAACCTGTCTCTTGCAGCCAGATTTGTTTGTCGAACTCCATGGGGTCTTCGGTAGTCTCGTCGCTCTTCAGCTGTCCGCCGGAAAAGAACGACTCCAGCACACCTTGCCCTGCCGCCAGAGACTGGCCGTAGCCGTCAACGCGAGCGACTGGCGAGCGTTTGACGAGCCATCGCTGCAGACACAATCATATTCGCACATTCGGAACCCTCAGCTACATTCACAGCGTGGACTACGGTGCTCGTACCGAGTTTGGTCTGTCCAGCCTTGGCAACCCAGTTGGTGATGGCGTCGAGCATTGGATGGGCTCCTGCCGATGTGACGAGCACGAGCAGTCCCATTACCAACGCTGACAGCTTCTGGGGCGTCGTGGGCGGCGCAGTCAGCTCGGCTGAAACGCCCATGCCCGGGTGCGCCGCTGCGGCTTCACCGAAGCAGCTCTGCACGGTATTAGGATGGCAAGCTCTCGCGCGATCCTCTGAGCGGCGTGAGACTAGCTCGTCGCTTACAGTCGGCACAGTGTGTCAACACCGTGTCCGTGTTCAGAATAATATCAGGCCGCGCTGGGCGCGGGTTCTCCGTAACTCCAGGGAGACAGAAAGCTTGACAACCTAAGCTTCCGTGTAAGCTACTGAATTCGTGCTGGAATTGATCGTTTTATTATTCGTTGGTTTCGCGTTACCAGAACAGTTAATTTTTAGACGGGCTCGTGCTTTCAAAACAGATGACCGGTAATCTTTATGATTTGCAGAATCTGATTCATGAAAGTAATCACGCACTTATGGATCTTGTCTACCACGGAGCTATGGTGGATCAGTTATTGGGAGCTTGTTTTGTTTTAGCTTATTTTTTATTGGGGTTCCATGCTTCAGGTGCACTGTCGTCATTACGCGCACATTTTTAATGCTTTAACGGAAAGCGCGAAAGGAATAATGCATCGCTGCTGTTGTGGACTGGTTGGTCCGTTTCACGCGTGTATCACCGCTTGCTGCCCAGCCCTGTGGCGCGTCTCGCGGCCCGTGCGGCCGGCGTCGCAGAGGGGTGCCTAAGATCGGCACACGGGGGAGGGGCGGGGGGGGGGGGGGGGGGCCACATCTGGCCGGACCGGACGCTCCGGCGCCGAACGCCCGTCTGCGTCCGGCGATAGCGCCCACCGGCCGGACAGGACGGGCCGAAGTGGGGTCGGCAGTCGCACAGACCGCGCCGCGCCGACATGTTCAAGTTCAGGAGGAAGCGCTACAAGAGCTTTGACCCGGGCATCTTGTGCGAGGTCAGTGAGCGGGGTCGCCTGGGATGGCCGGCTGTCGGGAGAGGCGACAGCCACGGCACGCGGCGCCTAGCTCTGGGTGGTTGGGTGGAACTGCGTCTGTTCCGCAGTGTTGCTGCGCGATCTTTCGGTGCTCTGACATGCCCCGCCGTTGCAGGAGACCGGACCAACGTACGATAATCCGGAGCTGGAGGCGATGCATAAGGAGATCCAGGGCTTGATGTCGGAGCAGGGCCAGCTGGAGGTGGACATATCGCAGAAGGAAGACCAGATCAAGAGCAAAAACTCGGAGGCTTCCACACTGCAGGTGCCAGCCCGGTGTTGACCCGCTGTCGCTTGCTGTATGATATCCTGCTCATCCCTCCGACATGGCTGACCGGAGGAGTGTTCCTCAGGCAGATGTTCTCACTTGGCGCAAAATGACCATAGATTGCACGGAAGTCAGCGCGCCCTTAAGACCCAATCATCATCAGATGCTCTCATCGCAGAGGTTTGTAAGCGAACATTCGAACACAAGTCCTGTTGAGCTCTAATGTTCGCATACACTGATGTCCGTGTCGCAAATGTTCGTAACCGTAGATGTTCGTCCTTGCACTTGATCGTCAGCGCTCGGCTTCTTAATGGAGATGTTCTCATAACAGATGTTCGTGGGGTATTGTTGTTATGACAGATGCTCGTGAGACCGACAGATAATAGCAGGGTCCTGGGGATCACACAAAACACGTCAGCGGAAGCGGCTATGAACGCAAAAGACAATGCCACAATGTCTTGTCGCGTTCTACTTTATGAAAAGCTTTCACTGCAGCTCCGCGATGCAATTTTCAGATGTTTGGGACGGGTAGAGGTTATGTGGTGCCGATGCCGCCGTTACCGTTACCTAAACTGGACCAGATCACACATGACGTTCGGCTGCTTCGGTACCCGCAGTGTGTGCCGGTTATACACCGAGCTTTTGCACACCGAGCCACGACCAGAAATCGCGGGGTGACGGGGAGGGGAGGGGTCAGGACCCTGAGGACGCACGGATGCTATGGTGGCCTGCGCAGACGAAACACCAGACGTTTGATGCAAAAACTGTCCCATGCTCCGAGGAGACAGATCCCACGACTGTGTCTCACCGCTATCCACGTCACGTTCAAGTGTCGTTTTGGGGCGCTTACCTTACGGACAATTGCGACTACGAACATGCTACATGAGCATCTGCAGTTCGAACATGATCGGCCATGGACGTCTGCGCCGCGAACATTAACGGATATGACTATTGCGTGTACGGCCGTCTGGGCTACAAACCTACACGTTGACGAATTTCTGCGGCGCGAATTTTTGCTTATTGGAGCATTGCCGTGTATGGACATTTGGACGTCCCATCAGCGGCATTTTGGAGCGTCAGCGTGATGCGCATCAACAATCACGGATTTTGACATACAGACATCTGCGATGCGAACACGGCTTCGAACATCTTTCATTTGCAGCTGTCATCATTTCATCATTTTACTCATAATTCTGTCATCCTTTCATTTGAACGTTTCGGACATCTTTGTTTAATTCTAAAGTTGCTCACACTATGACTCTATATATTGTTTAAGTGATTTGTGAGGGCATTTCAAGAAACGAATGTTTAATACGCCCTCAGATGGGGATTATAACCCTCCCCGACGGTTTTTCCAAAATGGTTTTTGAACGCAGCGGCGTAGCCACGCCTTATCAGCACAACCGTAACCGTACAAACTATCGTAATCCTTGGTGCTTATTCAAATATCAAATTGAAACCAATTGATAGGATTGTGGTTACCATGACGTTTTAAAATTGAAAAGGGTCACCGACTTGAAAAGAAAAGCAAAGGGATTTTGCTTAGAACGGGTATATATATATATATATATATATATATATATATATATATATATATATATGTATATAACAGACAGCAGACAGACAGACAGACAGACAGACAGACAGACAGAAGCAGACAGACAGGACAGACAGACAGACAGACAGACAGGCAGGCAGGCAGGCAGGCAGGCAGGCAGGCAGGCAGGCAGGCAGGCAGGCAGGCAGGCAGGCAGGCAGGCAGGGCAGGCAGGCAGGCAGGCAGGCAGGCAGGCAGGCAGGCAGGCAGGCAGGCAGGCAGGCAGGCAGCAGGCAGGCAGGCAGGCAGGCAGGCAGGGCAGGCAGGCAGGCAGGCAGGCAGGCAGGCAGGCAGGCAGGCAGGCAGGCAGGCACAGGCAGGCAGGCAGGCAGGCAGGCAGGCAGGCAGGCAGGCAGGCAGGCAGGCAGGCAGGCAGGCAGGCAGGCAGGCAGGCAGGCAGGCAGGCAGGCAGGCAGGCAGGCAGGCAGGCAGGCAGGCAGGCAGGCAGGCAGGCAGGCAGGGCAGGCAGGCAGGCAGGCAGGCAGGCAGGCAGGCAGGCAGGCAGGCAGGCAGGCAGGCAGGCAGGCAGGCAGGCAGGCAGGCAGGCAGGCAGGCAGGCAGGCAGGCAGGCAGGCAGGCAGGCAGGCAGGCAGGCAGGCAGGCAGGCAGGCAGGCAGGCAGGCAGGCAGGCAGGCAGGCAGGCAGGCAGGCAGGCAGGCAGGCAGGCAGGCAGGCAGGCAGGCAGGCAGGCAGACAGACAGACAGACGACAGACAGACAGACAGACAGACAGACAGACAGACAGACAGACAGACAGACAGACAGACAGACAGACAGACAGACAGACAGACAGACAGACAGACAGACAGACAGACAGACAGACAGACAGACAGACAGACAGACAGACAGACAGACAGACAGACAGACAGGTACAAGGTGGTTTCATGAGGCTTGGCGTTTTGGACGCCAATCTGACGTTTGATCCCGTCTGACACTTGACCCGAGGGTCATGGCATAGGAGCCTCAAATTTCGACACAAGTGTTTTCACATAGAGGCCAACGCACCTTGTGAATTTGGTGCCTCTAGCTCCTTTAGCTTTTTTGAGATCTCAGTGCGGGGTCAACTTGACTTTCCCGCCCCACCCGACCGAAGGGTATACAACCGGCCACCGGGGCGCGTGTTAAAGCATGTGGTTTTCCTGGCTTACAGCATAACGTCAGGCGGTTTGTTGACCTTGCAAACCATTTTTTATCTCCGGTAAATGTGATGGCCGTTTACCTCCTGACATTGTTGTGAGCAGATTTAATCCGGCCGTGCGACAGAAGTCCGGACGAATGTTGTGGGCTGAGGCGCCCGGACAGTGGCTAGATTTCCACCAGTTGCAATTCTTCCTGTGGTGTGTACACAGATACACAGGAGCCGACATGGGCGCCATATGACCAGGGTTAGTGGGCGTGCCGTTAAGCCCAAAGCAGCGTTATCATCATCACGGGGAGTCGGCTGGTCGATTACTATCGATGCCAGTGGAGCGCAGATGCCGGAGCGCCGATCGTGGCGGCACCGAGGGCGAGTCGCTGCTTGGACCAGTCGTGGTCACCGTCCCGGGACGTTGCAGAGGGAGCTGGAGACGCTGGCGGCCACACTGAAGCAGCTGGAGGGCCAGAAGGGCGCCGCCGCCGGCAAGCTGGACGACCTCGCCAGCCAGGTGCTGTCCCTCTCCCTCCCTCCCCCCAGCATGCAGTGTATCTACCATGCATGGTGTAAATAGCGGACAGCTGCACAGGACTGGCGGGTGCCAAACAGGCCTGCTCAGGGGTAGTTTGGGTGAAATCTGCTGTGCTGTGTGCCTGACATGAATAACGGCAGGGCCACTGTTGACAGCACTCGATCGAGCTTTAATTTTTGCGGTGCTCTGCTGCAATGAGTTGTCTTCTTCGCCTTTCTGTAACTTATGTCATAGCCCATTCGTTAACGCGCTAACCTTTCGAAATTCGTCTCTGGGAAATAGACTGGTTTCATTATCAATTCCAACTTGCGTGCTTTGCAATCTCCTTGCACGAATATGTTTGGTAAACAGATGTCCCGTAGTGTCATCGTTAGGATCTTTATGGCTTTCCCCTCGTTGACCATTTGGCTGCTGTCCCGTAGTGTCATCGTCAGAATCTTTATGGCTTTCCCCTCGTTGACCATTTGGCTGCTGGCTTCAACACCAGGTGGCAACCGGCGAGATCTAGGCGGGCCCTCCGGGGTGGCAGGCGCATGCTCTGTGGATGGTCTGTGTTAGTGCGGTGCAGTGTTCACACCCACGTGGGCTGGAAATGTAATAACCTGTACTAGAGCTGTTGACTAGAGCTATAGGTGCCGCATATGAAACTCGTTTGGACACGACACCGTTATTTTACGTCGCCACTTTCATTTAAGGATGTGTAGTGCATTGACGGACTATTTTTTATAGAGCAGGATTTGCTTTCGTTTAATGATTGCCTTCAGTTTGGTATGTATTGTAAGGTTATGTTTCACCAGACGGCCTCTTCACAACGGTTGGATTTTGCCATGGATAATAAGGGCAGACATTTAGTATTCACCCATCCGTAAACGGAGAACGCAGTCCAATGTGGCATGGAAGCTATCTCGTCGTCAGGCTCCACCGGCCGTTCCTCCAGACGGATGGCCCGCTTGTGAGTGACGTCAGACCGAGCCGTTGTGGAGAGGCCGGCTGGGCGAGGACACCTGCTCGCTTGGTTGGTGTGCTGGCCGAACCCGGTAGCGGCCGGCTGCGCTGTTGCTTGGCCTGTTGGTCGGCCGGCCGGGCGCGCACATGCTGGCGTGTGGGGTGCCGCGCCCCGCCCCGCCCTGGGGGCCGCCGGCCGGCTGGCCGCCTCTCGTGGACCTGACCCGTGTTGTGCCGCACAGACCAAGGGTCTGGAACGCGACCTGCTGGCCGCCAAAGACGAGGTGGCGCGCGAGCAGCAGAAGGTGAGTGCCCTGCGGTGGCGGGCCGGGCTGACATGCGGGGCGCGCGCGCGCGCCGCCGGCGATCGGCGCCAGGCGGGCGCCTCCCGTGCGGCTTCGGTGGTCGGCGCTCGCTGCTCACGGGCGCAGGAATGGGCCGCTTCCAGTGTTTTGCTGCTCATTCGCTCCTGCTTCCGTCGCTGACTCAAACGGGCTGCGTCCAGAGGGCGGCGGGCGTACGCAAGGTGTACGGCCGGTTCGCACTGTTTGAAAATGTGCCGAGTGAGTTAGCGCAGTCAGGCGCTTGACCAGAGCGTTGACCGCCCGTGGGGCCGGATCCGAGTCGCGTCCGCACTCGAGCTCTGTACCGTGTCGTATGCTGCTCTGGCTGTTCTGCTCGTTAATCCGCGGCACAAGAGTGGTGTGAGACGACGCAGCTCGGCTGCTTTGCCGAATCACGACATGCTGAACGTCGGCTTTTTACTTCCGAGTGCGCGGTAAAATGTGTAGTTACACACGAAAAGTCTGGTGAAAGCGGTGCTCGTACCTGCTGTTCATCATGTGATGCGTGCGAAAATGCTGATGATGCATTAAGTTAAAGTGGATCTTGGCGCATGGTTTTCGTTAGCTGTCAGATGCGCTGCAACGGGTAATATTGCAAGGACGTTGTAATCAAATTATCGCGAAGGCCTTAAATATTCAGCGGTAAGTTCAGCTTAACAAAGTGCCACGACTTGAAAGTTGGCCAAGTTTCGTGCGCAGTGTAATGAAGGCATCTCAGTTTAGACGGCACGGGAATGCCGCGGTCTTCTTGTGCGCGTGGCAAGAGAAGAGTGCTGAGCCAGGCAGAGGTCATCGCTTCATCCTGTGATGTAACTGCCTTTTTCCCATCGAATGTGATGGTGCTGCACCGACTTCCCCATATGCCATGCATGCATGCAACATTATGCAATGTCTGGCATTTTCATTGCACGACTCCGTGAGTAGAGCGCTGCAGGCTGTGTGCTGATATGCTGGGAACTGACTGGCCGGACCCCTTCAATTCACACGTTGATCAGACGTTTCCGGTGGGTACATTCCTTCAGCATTGGCTTCTTCTGGCGCATCTGCTTGATTTGGCGGACGTTGAATGGGGCCTAGTCATGCGGTGCGCGCGCAGTTGCCACGGGTCACCGGGTGCGGTGCTGAGGTTAGCGCCCCGCACTCACGCCCGGCCGAAGCAGCCCGGGTCCACCCCCATAACCCGTGGCAGCCCGGGTCCACTCTCATAACCCGTAGCAGCCCGGGTCCACTCTCATAACCCGTAGCAGCCGGGGTCCGCTCTCATAACCCGTAGCAGCCGGGGTTCACTCTCGTAACCCGTGGCAGCCCGGGTCCACTCTCATAACCCGTTGCAAAGGTATGCATGCACACTGGGCCGCTAGTCTGCGCAAGCTGCCAACGTTGGCACCTTACTTGTTACGGAACTGAGCGTTTTACCTGGCTTCATAATTGGCTTCATAATGGGGCTTTCTTGATTAGTTGCGTTCACGAAGACAGCCGGTCACCATCCAAACTTCCTGCATTTTTGCCGTCCGCAGTTTCGTAGCATTTATCAGGTTATGTACTTTGTGACAAAAACAACCATGAAATTCCTTACGGCCGCCTCTCCTTCGAGGTGTGATTGGTTCGTCAAGGGAAAATGAGAAGGTCGGCAGGAGCAGAATACGTGACGAAACAATGCTCCCAAACACGCTTTGTCATCCTTCTACGTCAGCCAGGCATCCAAGTGGCGAGGAGCGCCGTGGCCGACAGCTGCTGCGGCCACGGCGAGTCGAGCTGAGCTCACAGCGGGGACGCGGACGCAGCATGTAACGCGCGCCGTGCCGTGTCTCCGCCGGCTGCAGGTGGACCGACTGCAGGCGCAGGTGAAGGAGCAGGAGGAGTCGCTGGTGGCGCAGGAGCAGGAGCTGGGCGACAAGCGGCGCGAGCTGAGCGAGCTGCGCGACGAGGAGCTGTCGCTGGAGCGGCAGGTGCAGGAGAACAGCAGCCGCCAGGAGCGCATCGCCCGCACGCTCGAGGACGCGGCCCTCCAGATCAGCCAGGTACCGGCCCCAGGCACGGCTGGAGAATCGGCGGGGATCAGCGCGGCGCGCGGTCCCGGCGGCCGCGAGCTAGCCGTAGCGCAGTTCAGAGGGTCACGGCACGGGACGGGCGTGGCCGTGTTGGCCGGCCTCACGCAGGTACTCTTGTGATAGGAAGCCAACGCCGGCGTCGGCTGAGCGCGTGTTGGCGTCGGGCCGCCGGGTCAGCTGACTGCGTGCCGGCGTCGGGCCGTCGGCGTCGGCTGACTGCGTGCCGGCGTCGGGCCGCCGGGTCGGCTGACTGCGTGCCGGCGTCGGCTGACTGCGTGCTGGCGTCGGGCCGCCGAGTCGGCTGACTGCGTGCCGGCGTCGGGCCGTCGGGTCAGCTGACGGCGTGCCGGCGTCGGGCCGTCGGGTCAGCTGACGGCGTGCCGGCGTCGGGCCGCCGGATCGGAGCGAGGGGCGGTCTGGCCACTGAACGCGCAGCCGGGGGCGCCGCCGGGGCTGCCAGCGCCCGGTGGTGGAGAGACTGTGCGCTCGTGGGCAGGACCAGACCTGTCGGAGAGTGTCGGGGATGAGACCTCACCTGTGCTAGGCTCTGCTCCTGTATCCCAAACAGCCTGGTGTCGTAGCTGACTTGCGGCTTCGTGCCACTGTTGCCTACATCCGGGACAAGCAGAGCGCTAGTATCGGTTAGTGATGTGACGATGTCACAAGTGGCTACGCTTTGGTAACGGCCCTGCCGTGCCGCTGTGCCCGTGCCCAGGCCAAGTCGAAGGTGACGCAGCTTGAGGAAAGCCAGCGCCAGATGTCGGAGGCGCTGGGCCAACTGGACGCGGCGCTGGAGGGCGGCGACGCCGCGGCCGTGCCCGACTCGGCGCTGCAACCGGCCGACACGTCGTTCGCCGACCCGCAGTTCACTGAGATCCGCAGCATGCTCAGCCCGGAGCCGGAGCCGGCGCCCGCGCCGGAGCCGGAGCCGGAGCCGGAGCAGCGCTCCCAGGTGAGCGTCACCGCCGGCGGCCAGGCGGCGACCCTGCACCTGTTGTTTGTTGTGCCGGTAGGTTTAGGCTGAAGTTCTGACGGAGATTGTCAAAATATCTGCGACGTGCGCTGGCCGGGTATGTTTTTGTTTGCTTTGCTATTACCACAGCGTCATATACATATATGTTAAGTCACAACTCATGTCACAGCCTACAAGTGACGTCGTTGGCAGTTTATTAAGTGACATGGGCGTACCCAGAACGATGCAGCTGAGGTGATGACTCGCGGTGGGAAGTCTCAGAGGCGAACCGCACCGCGCCATCCCGGGCAGCACCGTCCTGAGTGTGGTTTCGCTCCGTGTGCGACAGCCGCCGCCGCGCCCGGCCGCGCCCACCTTCCATGCCAACGGCTTCAACGACCCGTTTCGGCCGTCGTCGGGCGGGGGCGGCCGCTCGGCCTGGGGCGCCGACCCGTTCGGCGCGTGGGACGCGGCGCCGGCGGCGGCCGAGCCGACGCCGGCCGGCGCCGACCCGTTCGGCGCGCAGCCGTTCGCCGCTGCGGCGCCGCCACGACCCGCCTCCGTCACGCCCGAGCTGCCCCCGAAGACGGCCGCCAAGGTAGGTCGACGCCGCGTCCGGCGAGACGCTGACGTGTGCCGGGGACGGGGGCGGGGCGCCCTGCGGATAGGAGAGGAATGTGCCGACCAGGCGTGTGTCTGGCGTTCATGTGGAAATGCTGTGAAATATTGCTCCTGTGACGTTATCGCCAGGCGTTCCGGCCAGAGAGCGAAAACCACATGCCTTCTAAACAAACAGCGAAAGCTACTTAGCAACCAGCATAATGATGATTGCGTGACCTAGCAGGCAGTTCATCCTTTGTAGACGAAACGTAATTACAGCGTGCTTAGACCTGAAAATAATTAGCAGCACTAGACTATTTGCCGGTTAGTGCGAAACCGGTTAGTTTAGGGCTGGTGTCAAATCGAGGGCACCAGAGCACATGCTCGCGTGGAACCAGCAGCACGGTGCGGGCGAATCTGTATAGCTGCAACTTATCGCCAAATGTGGACCGGAAACCAGGCAGCGCTATCTTCTCCGAAACCAATCTCCGGTGCCAGATGTTGTCTGAACCGAGATTGAACGGACCATGCAGCCGGTATGGTCGTGCATTGATTTTTTTGGGTTGATCTAATCAACGTCTGCCAAAGCATAACGCTTTTCGCAGTACCCGGGCAGTAGTACGGAGGTCTCGAATGTAAAACCCGTAGGTCAATGCGATTCATTGAGTATGGCAACGAAAATCGCCCAGCCTGGCTGAATTCATAGCCAACCACTTCTCAAGCAACTAAGCCGTGAATTGGCGCGTGAAGTTCAAGTCAGCGGACTCTGAATCGTGAAATTCTCGAGAAAGGTTTTTTAGAGCATTGATGAAAGTCGCTGGTGCCCGAAAGTGTCTGCCTTCTGGCTCTAGCGTAGTTTTTTCATCATCTGCTTTACGACTGTTACGTATGTTATCGCGTTCAGCTTTCTTGGCCACACAAGGTGTCTTCCTGATTTAATCGCATTTAATGGTTTAGGGGCGGCTGCCTGCTGATATCATTCGTTGACCATGTTTTGATCTAGTCGCCAGATGCACTGCCTGCTCATTCATCCTCATTACGCATTGGGGCCGCTTCGTGATGCGCCACGCGATTTACACTCGTTTGTTGGACGGCCATGCGGTGGGTTCGCGCTCCTCCGCACCCTGCCAACGACATTGGCGTTGCGCGCGCCAGCTGGCGGCGCCAATTCGTGACTCAGATTTGTATGTTGCCCACCAGGTGCCTCCGCCGCGCCCGGCGCCGCCCAAGAGTGTGCCGGCCCGGCCGCCGCCGCCCACGTTCGCGGCCAAACCGGAACCGGCCGTGGCCGCCGGAGGGTTCGCCGACTTCGCCAACTTCGACCAGGTGCGCGGGGTTTGGTGTGAGGAAGAGGTGGTGGTGGTGGGGGGGGGGGGGCGCTGAGCGCGGTGGGTCCGAGCTGGGCTGGACTGGATTCCCCGCCACCCGGGGCGCCGACACAGCCCCGAGAAGACATCTTCCCGAATCTGACGTCCGCTCAGGGAAAGTGCTGGACTCTGGATGTCGCAAGAATCTCTGACGAGATTAGCCGGATCCGTTTGTGGAATCTCCATCACCCGTCTGGCGTCGGGTATGCCCAGTAAATAGTCACGAGCTGGCGCCCGGGCCGCCTGCACGTGAGTGCTGTGCTTATGCCGCCCCCCCCCTCCCCCACTCCCATCCCCCGCTGAACAGGGCGCGGAACCAGCCATGCCTGCGGCCGTGGACTGGCGCCCCTGGAGTGGCGCCCCTGCCTGTAGCAGGGCGTGGAGATGACGGCGGCCCACTTGACGTGTCCCTCTCCAGCCAGTCTGGACTAACCCAGACGTGTCCCTGCAGCCAGTCTAGACTAACCCGTTCGGCGCAAACCGAGTGCCTGCGTACGGTAGTGGTGGTGGAAGAGGTGGTTGGTGCGTTTGTTGCGTCTGCCTGATCCCATTAACAGCCGTGTTGCCTTCCAGTGACATGCTACTCACACCTTGGACGCGACTAGCTGTCGCTCCAGGTATTGTACTTCGCTTTAACCCGCCGTTTGAGTGTCGTGAAGATCTGCGCTAGTTTTTGCTCACGCTGTGCACAACAGTCCCCTCCGTTCGCCCTCCTTTCTTTTCCGCTCTTTGTCACGGTCTCTTGGCTAACTTCATCTTCCTTTTGTTTGATCTTCCTCTCACTCCCTCTTTCCATTCGCTATTATTTCTCCTCACCTGCCGGTCTCCCGTCGTCTAAATTCTGGCCATCTCTTGCCGCCTGAACCCTGCCGGTCTCCAACCGTATCAATCCTGCTGGTCCCGTTGTTTTAATCCTGTCGGCCTCTTTGCCGTCTGAGCCATTGCCGGTCTCCCGCCGCCTGAGCCATGCCGGCGTTCCGCTGTCTGAGCCATGCCGGTCTCCCGCCGCCTGAGCCATGCCGGCGTTCCGCTGTCTGAGCCATGCCGGTCTCCCGCTGTCTGAGCCATGCCGGCGTTCCTCTGTCTGAGCCATGCCGGTCTTTCCGCTGTCTGAGCCATGCCGGTCTTCCGCTGTCTGAGCCATGCCGGTGTTCCTCTGTCTGAGCCATGCCGGTCTCCCGCTGTCTGAGCCATGCCGGTCTTCCGCTGTCTGAGCCATGCCGGTGTTCCTCTGTCTGAGCCATGCCGGTCTTCCGCCGTCTGAGCCATGCCGGTCTCCCGCCGTGTGAGCCCCGTTCCTTGCTCGCACCGTCTCCCGACGTACACGGTGCATGGTTGCAGCGGCGGCACGTTTGGTTGTGACCAGCGGAGCAGACGGGCTGGCGGCGCGGCGGCGCGGTCACGTGTGCCCTGGCTATGACCTCGCCCCCGCCCCAAGCGAGTCGCTCTCGTCACCGCCGAGCGCGCCACGCCAGTCACCGCCGTTCTCACTGAGCCCGCGTGCAGCATGCGGCAACGCACGCTGCGTGTGTTGTGCGGAGTGGTAGTTCGTAAAGAGTAGTGACTCATCGCTTGTAGAGGTTAGAGGGCCGGCCTCAGTCAGTGCACCACAGCGTGTACTGGCGCCGCTAATCGAGCCCGTACGCGTGGCGCCGCGTGTGGCGCGCCGCGCGGCGCACTGCCAGGACCGGCGCGCCGCACGTCGCGTTCCCACGCTGCGATGTCCCCCGCTCAGTTCCTAACGCGTCATAGATCGTTAGTTCTGTTTTTGGAATGGTTTTGTGCTGATCGTAGCCTTTATGTTTTGCACTGGGTGCTGTTTGCAGCACCAATATGCATGTGCTTTACCTACAAACACGTGTCGCCTGCACTTGGTGAATGCATGATGGGGAACTTCGCTAGGACGGAGGCTACATCACTTTCGTGTGGGAGTCGTGACGCAAAACACACTGTGTTTTGTAAAGAAGTGTACCTTTTTGTGTGACACCTCGACCAGCACTTGTGTGCCGGCGGCAACAATGCGGGAGCGATGAGCAGTGGTCGGGCGTGACCTTGTCGGTGGCCTCTGTCAATTCGACATCCGTGACCAGCTCGTGACGTGCGTTCCCGTCCAATGACCTGCCGTTTAGTCACAGTGGCCGACGAGCCGTCGCTGTCAGCGTGGCCCGGATGCAGGGCTCGCCTGAGCGACGCCCCCTGCGGTGGTACCGCGCCACCGGGGCCCGTTCGGTGTCTGGGGTGTCAACCGCCTGGTCCGCCGCCGACGCTGAGTGCCGCGCCTCGTGTTGCAGTTCACCAGCGGCTCCGGCGACGCCTGGTCGGCGCCAACGTCGCCCGCGCCGCCGCCGCCGACCTTCGCCATCTCTGACCCGTTCTCCGCGCACGACCCGTTCGCCGGCGCCGACCCGTTCGGCGCCGCCGACCCGGGCGCCGACCTGTTCGACGGCGCCGGCGCCGACCCGTTCGCCGGCGCCGACCCGTTCTGGGGCGCCGACCCGTTCGGCGCCAGCGACCCGTTCGCGGCGTCCGGCGGCCGGGACTCCGGCTGTCTGACGCAGTCGTCGACGATGGAGTTCGAGCGGCCGGCAGCCGGCCGTCGTGACCCGTTCGAGCCGGTGTCGGCGCGCTCGCGCTCCTACACGCCGTCGCCGGTGGTGGGGGCCGGCCTGCCGCTGGCGGCTCGCTCCGCCTCGGCGCGCGCCACGCCGGCCGGCGAGCTGGAGCGCAGCGGCGGCAGTCCCAGCACGGTGCTATAGCCGGCCAGCGCCCTCTGGCGGAGGGTGGAGGCGCCACCCCGCCGACGATTGGTTGCTCCCGCTTCCCCCGGCCTCCACCGAAGCGCAACGCTGAGTTTATGCTAACCGTAGGCGCCATTTGTATTGATTCGTCATAATTTACGGACAGAGCGACATCCATTTTCAGCCTCGCATTGACTTTCCACGAATGCAGCGATACGTCGATCCGTCTGTCCCCCGGCGAAGTCGAATCAAATGGGACAGACGCCATTCACTAGCTTGACCACCATGCCGCATGCTTCCCTAGTTGGACAGCGCTCCGTTCGGGGCCTTCGTTTTTAGCTGGACGGTGCACGTATGCAGATGGCTGGCCACCATGACGAGTGTGGGGCGGCCGGAGGCAGGACGGGTTGTGATGGTGCGCGTGGTACGCCCGCGGGGGGGTGCATGAACCGCCCGCGGGCCGCAGGGTATCCTTATCAGCGGCTAGACGGCGCACCCGTGTGTGTGTGAGAGAGAGAGAGAGAGGTCCGTCGGACCGTGTAGTCGGTGTGGTATAGCGAGCGGTGAGTCGGCAGCGCCGGCAGGCCGCCCCGGCAGCAGCCTGCGGCGGCGGCGGCGGCGCGCCCCACGTGTGCGTCTTGTATGCAGTGAACCGATGCGTCCGTGCTCCCTTCTCTCTGTGGCACCCGTAGGCATGCCCCTAGCTCGTATATTCTCTAGACATCTCGCTGTTTCCGCGGCATGGAGAGGCCGGGAGTCGCTGCTGCCCGGTCGCGGGCCACCTGGACGCCGAGGTGACCTATGGACACCCACCAGGCACCAACAGCTGGACAGGGCAGCCGCCGGCCTGCGCTCGCAGCGTACCGTCGCGCTGTCTGTGTGGTTCACAGGACTGGGGCGAGGCCGAGCGGAGAGGCCGGCAAGGCTCGCCCGCCCTCTGGCTGACGCTGAACTGCTTTCCGCGCAAAATTGTGTGTACGCGTAATTACCACTGAACTGTATGTAAACGGGCAATTACTCTGCATGGCAACTCGGTCGTTCGGTATAAAGGGCTTTGGAAGTCAGCTGCTTACTTATTTGGAGTCGCGATCTGGCTAATGCCCTGTGCATGTCTACATACATACCTGATTGTTGGCTAGTTGTTAACAAGTTTGCCTGAATGTGGTCGCGAACACTGTATACGCCTGCGAAGTAGCCCTCCCCCGAGCCGCAGCTCTAGAGTCAGGTAGGCTGCCGAAGAGCCCGGTTCCAGTGAGGTCCCCGCCAACGGTGAGGATCTACTGGCTGACGCGCGTTTTACTCTATATCTGCCTCCGCCTCATTCCAATCGCGTGGATGGCTCCGCTGTCCAGCGGACGTCTGGTAGAGTCACGGTGTAGATGGGTCGAGTGATGTGATATCCTGTCTCGTACGGTGTCAGTGGTTATACGTACTGTGTAAATATATCAGTCATCGTCTCTCGCTTCTGCTTCGGCGCGTGCCTCGACGACGGGGATTCACGCTGGTGGTTGCCGGAGGCCGTGGGGAGGTTTTGAAGGGGACGGCGAGAGGCGGGGGGTGATACGAGCATCGCCGGTAGGGGATGGGCCGTTCGCGTGCTCTGCTGTCGGGGCCACCGCACGGGCACGTGCCGGGTCTCGAGGCAGGCACGTGGCGGACGTGTCGGGAATGCGTCCGCGTTTCAGTGGCAACGGTCTGCGGTCCAGTCTGTCCGGACGGACACTGAGCTCGCCCAGCTGCCTGGAACAAACGGACTAAGAAGACTCAGACCCGTTTTTTTAACATAAATGTTAAAAGCGGTACTTAGACAATTTTCAGAGCCTGGACTGATGGCAACAACCGGGAGGGAGGGAAGGGGGCGGGGGGTTGCGAGGGACTTCTCGCAGCCGGGAGAATTAGCCGCCCTCGGTTGCCCACACAATGAATTGCGCCCGATGTCGCAGTACATATGATCGATCGATTTTCCCTGGGAATCCATACCACCTGAACGTCTGCGCATGAACAGCTGCACCGCTCCGTGGGCCGTGCTTCCTCACCCAGAAGGAAACGAGGCTTTCCGTTTCGGAGAAGGGTCTTTTGCGACGCTTGTGAAATGCGCTGACTGGGGAGGGAACTAGCAGGGTCTTGGGCGAACACCCGCGATAATTGGTTTGCAGAGGAAGCCGCAGACTGGAGATGGCAAATCATGTTTCTGGAAGTGATATCTGAGATCCCAAGAGAAGCGTCGCGACAGCAGCCAGGAGCGGAGTAGGCTGAGCAGCCTACTCTCGAAAACTTGCAGAGCATGCCCGACTGATGAAAACCTCATACCCGAAAAAGGGCCTTCAGGTACCAATTTTCAGCATTATGAGCTGAAAGTTGTGTTAAGTTAACGTTCGTCAGAACACCACTTTAATACAAGAGGTACTGGTTAAACGACGCTGTAATGCTAGATATCGATTATACTGGCAGTACTCAGCATTTCGATCTGCGCACACCCTCAAGAGTGGCAAGGGCTCAGAAAGGTTCACCAAAATTTTACACTTGAAGGATAAGACACTTGGGTCCAGAAAACGCTCCCAATGTACGCAAGCACTACCCGTAAAAGATGCCCCCAAATTCAGAAAGCATCCAAGCTCTCAACGCTCCGCATTCAGTTCAACGTTAAATGCTGGAAAAACAACACAGCTCAGCAGGAATTTGTTGGCCATTGAAAGCTGTGCGCCCAAGGCTGAATGTACAAGCTCACCGCTGGCCTGATTTAAACAACACTTCAAGGTTATGCAAATGCCTGAGGTTCGGGCCATGTTTATGGTGGCTGATAAACGGCAAGAAATGTTCTTGCGTGATACTCTGTGTCGGATATTGCAAACTTACGACTCGGCTGCTTGTGTTTTTTTTTCTGCAGCCTTATGTTGAACGGTATGTGGCGTGCTGGGAACTTGGATTATTCATCCGGTTAACATCTTTTAGTGAGTGTGCGCAAATTGGGATTTCGTAGATCTTCTGGATTCGCGAGTCTTTATTTTTCGTTGTAATATCTTGCCAAGTTTTTCTGAGTCCCCGTCACTCTCAATGATGAACACAGTCGAAATATTGAGAACTGTAAATAAAATCGTTATTTGGCGTTACAACGTAGTCTAACCATACCTCCTGGCATACTGAAGGTTGATAACTCAACATAAGAAATTTCAACCTAGAAAACCCCATGCTTGCAATACGGCGCTAACAAACCGCGGGCAGTCGCGGCGACACCAGCTGGCGCCGTGATCCAGTCACATCCGTTGGCGGCGACGTAATCCTGCGTCGGCGGGTTCCCCAGCCGGCATGTACACCGGAGAACGGCTCCGAAGCGTGGGGAATGCGACCCATCTTCCCGCTGCGCGTGCTGGCGGCGTGAGGAGCCTGGAATGTTCAGCGGAAGCTGACTTTTCACCCTTCATGTACGGCTTCAATCAGCTGGTCTCATGGCGTCATCGTTCACGTGAAGTCCCATAAGCTGATGGCACGGGAAATCTTTACCTACGTGCATGCGTATGGAAGTGAGCATGGTGGAACTGAACACTGTAGGAACTACGAGAGCCTTCACCGGCGAGGTGTTACATGTCAAAATGCTACATGTAGGGGAGGGCGGGGTCATGGCGACAAACCAGACATTTCTTCGTTGGCGTCACCGTTTGCGGTTCCACGTTCCACCTTGGATGCAGAAAAAGAGCGATAATAAATGAGCTATTCGATTCCCTGCAGGTTTGATACTCTATGCACGGTGGGCTGCATAGAAGGAGCTGGCGCGGATTGATCTGCTCACACATAATCTGAGGTGTTCGAGCCTAGATTCCAGTTGGGTTTCGGCTCTGTGGTTACACACGACGCGCGCTGTTTAATTTTGTGGTCGTGTTATGTGGCCTGTGGCACCTGCGTTCATATTTAGACTTAAAGCTGGGATCGGGTGAGGAAATGCACCAAGCTGTGGATCACGGTGCATTCACAGCATCTGAATTATGCTCAGATCGAGAGTAAACTGTTAATACCAGTGAGAACATTTTGCTTTTATAGCTAAGCACCACCATATTTTGTAAGCAGACAGTACTGAACTTCCTGTCCAGCGACTGCATGCGTGGAAGACGACAAGGAGGATAGCTAACGTAATTTCAATAGAAAACGAAAAGGCGATGGACGGTAGCGGAGGCGTTTGAATGACCCGACCTCGCGCAATAGGAACAAAGGGAAGACGTGCTGATGACATCCACAGGCAAGGCAAGCAGGCATCTCGCAGAACGTGATGCGCAATGAAGAATGCGGCGTGGGAATCGCGTCAGGTGTGGGTTTCCCATCTTGTTGGACCTAGTAGATCTGAGGCAGGCTAGACTGCCTCAGGCGGAACCGGATGCTGCCGCACTATGTTTAATGTTGCTGATCGCAGCGTCCAGGTCGAGGCATAGCGATGATTTCCGGTGACTGAAAACGCCTCAAACATGTTGCCTGGTGGCATGTGTTAGATCAGATAGGTGTTTGCATGCATGTAAATAGCGTTTCTAGATGGCTTTCAACTGCTAAAAAAGCATGAGTTCCCCGAGTCTGCATAACGGTAAAGCAGAACTCCGACAGTCCTCTCTCGGGTAGATTTGCGCCTTCCTAAGGGGAACATCCCGAATCGGAAACGTGGACTCGTAATGTGATCCGTTCACTAGTGGAAAATGTACCAGAAACAAAGCAAAAGTTCCGAGCGTTGTAACTCCATGAGAAGGCCTTGGGCGTGTCTTTAGACCGTGCCTTTGATGGAAAGGCTGCCTTCAAATCATCGATGTCGTTTAGAAGCCCGACCATTTGAAGGATAGTGGGCTAATATTCCATGTCGTCGGTGTAAACATACATTTGTTGCTTGATACAACCAGGTAGGAGAGTGAAGTTGGCACGATGGTCAAAAATCATACCCATATCAAGCGTTAACACTTAACAGAACAACACCACCAGCAGTTCAAGGTGTGCATCTCACGAACACCCTTTTTGGCATAGCCATTCTCCACGCACTCCCGCGCATTCACAGAGGCAGGTTCCCATGCCTCCTGCCATTACAAGCGAGGCAGAGGACCGGGCGGGCCTTGCTCCAACAGCGAAAATGTAAGCCTTGGCGGCCTGGCCGCGCCTGTCCTGGCCGTGGTGCTTGCTGGGAGGTGACGCGAGAGGACGGGGCGGCACAGCTCTCAAGTTAACGCCTTTAGCCCATCGTCCCATCATGGCTAGATGTATGTTGCGCATGGACAGCCATCCGGTGCTTTGTTCTGAGTCATGCTTTGGCAGTGGTGGAAATGTCCATGTTGGGTAATTAGTCATGCTTTGGCAGTGCTGGAAATGTCCATGTTGGGTAATTAGTCATGCTTTGGCAGTGCTGGAAATGTCTATGTTGGGTAATTAGTCATGCTTTGGCAGTGCTGGAAATGTCCATGTTGGGTAATTAGTCATGCTTTGGCAATGGTGGAAATATCCATGTTGGGTAATTAGTCATAC